TTGGTTAGATAAATATTTTGTTATGGATTAAAGGGAGGACTGTGAGACCTCCCCACTGACAAAAACTACACGCCCGAGCGCACCCGATTAGGGTTCGTCGCGAGTTTCAACCCACCGAGGTGCAATGGTGAGCCTCCACCCGGGGTCAGAGCATTCCTGATCACCCTGAACCCGGCGCCAGGTAAGTTTAATTACTAGTTAATAGCCTGTCGCTCGATCATTCTCAACAACATTGCAATGAATTCACTCTCTGCAAATTAACACTGCATTCCCAATCAAAACATTCACTTTAACAACATTTTAAACATTCAACAGTAAACAGATTGTAGTAGACTTGTCACTATGTCCTTTTTTCTGATCAACCTGTACCGGAATTTTCATTTTAATCTTCAGGTTATTTCTGGCATTAGCTGTCGGTACTCGCAGAACTTCGACAAGCCTCATTAAAAGAATACAGGTCTTTGCAAGCAATTGTCTACACAATATACCCAATGTCTATCGGAGGAATACCATTCGCATCAGCCTACTGTGGCAGTGAACAAACCAACTTCCAGCTGAAGAGAAAGTTAGACAAACACTGTAGTTGGGTAGGACAAACATTAAAGAGTGGAGGGCACTAAGATGGAATCCTGAAAGTAAAAGTAAAAGAGGGAGACCAATGAATGCATTGCACACGGAACTGGGAGCAGACATCAAAAGAGTAAATAGCAGTTGGAACCAACTGGAAAGGAGAGCTCGTTACATCGTCGGTGGCCTATGCTGGAAGAGAGGTGACAGGTGTAAATAAATAAGAGACGAATATTAGGTTATGAATAAGTGAAAACAATGGAGTATAGCTTTCGACTTATCAAGGCGTTTCTAGATTTATCGGAGAAGTGATGCTTTGCGAGACCAAAACAAAGACGGTGATCCCAGTGTTAACAACTTTTGTAGATCGAAAATTTCTTAGCAGTGATATTACCGAATGTTATTTGAGTGATAGCTATGCAAATAATCTATCTTCACAAGCCCACTACAAGTCATTTGGTTAAAGAAGATAAATAAAACTAATGGTTGAAATAAGTTTGACCTTAGATCTCTGTAATTATGATTTAAAGGGAAATCTTTACACACAGTCCTTCTTGGTAGCCAACAGATATTTAAATAGACTGGGGATTTGTGGAGATTGTGGTAATTTTAACGGTTGAATTCGTAAGTCGATCTAAGCTATACCACCATTGGAAACTTGGACAGCCGTTTCGTTCTGGTATGGGACTCCTTACCAGTACACATCCACGATTCCGCACGCGGGGTCCGAGCACCTAACCTCTAGACCGATGAGTCTCGCGTGGAGGATCGTGGGTGCACATTCCTAAGGATTCTCATACTCGAACGGGTCGGCCGTCCAGGTTTTCGGCGGTGGCCTAGCTTAAATGGACTCATAAATTCAACTGTTAAAATACTTCAACATCTAGAACTTCGAAAAACGATTCAGTGATAAGATAAAACAATGTAGAGACAACTTTCTCCTTAACATATTTTTGTTCATACTACGCCAAGTTTTGAAAATGTGATTTAACTTTTAGGAGGTTTATCTTTATTATTATTTATGGTTATGACAATCACTCAATCATAAGTCTGAAAACGCACTAGATTAAACAGAACCGAACAATACCGTTTTTCATGTGTTTTGACCATTCCCCTGAAGGCAAACAGAATAGAAGACGATGATGACTAAGTGAGGAAGTATGCTTGATTGCAAGCAGAAGACGAACGTGAGACTTCTAAATTGGTTATCTAGAGGAAAGGCATCTCACATCAGATTATGTCATAACCTCAAAGTGAAACTTAACTGAGCCCTTTCATCTACTAGTATCCATGGTCACTAACAAGATCAGCAACAATGTCTGTTGTTTACGAAGCCACCTATTTGAGGGAATTATCTACCGCTACACATTTGTAATCTAATAATAAACATTTGAAGACGATTGTCTATAGATCAGTAACGTTTTAACTGACCATTATAAAATTGGTTCTGTCTTATTTTTCTTGTAGTGTGGTGACAGTGCTGAACGGTCTTCCTGATAAGTGATAAAGATTACTTTGTACCTGACTCGACAATATCTGGATCATCGTTATTTTTACTTTTTGTGGTTGGAAATTATGAAAACTTGCTTTCATTGGACGTTATTTTAAGATGTCTTCTGGTCAAAAACCACATTGAAGGCTTTTTTCTCGTATATATTGCCTTTTCCCTATGGAAATCATTGACTCTAGCCCATTTCTTCACTGTGATTTGTTTAGAGCGGTTATTCTTTGCAACCGCATGATCGTACACATAGTTTGTGCAGTCGTATTTTGCTACAGTCAGTCGATTTGTAGAAGAAAAGTCCAGGGTTTTTAGTTCTTATGTTATCATGATTACTGGTTTTTATTAGTGGGTTCAGTAAGCAAGTGCAAATTTCTGAGCTCGAGTTTGCGCCAAACTGTTAGTATGGACAAGTGATTGGGCTAGCCGAATTGAAGTGGGTGAAGAGAAATTAGAACTCGAATTTTTATTTTCGAAAATCAACTCCTTTAGCCACGACTTGAAGTTCCAGTTAGCAGCTAGCGTGAAGGTAAACACGTATATCAAAGTGGAGCACCAAAAGTTAGCTACCGGTAAATAAAAAATGTCTGACTTAGTACTTTTTAAAACTTGATCGGTCCAACTATAACAAACATGCTTATCTATATACAGATTTACTTGTATTGATTATTAGCTGGCTAAAACAATATATAGGTGAAATAGTGGAAATAAAAACGAATTTCACTACATTGACTTGAACGGATGTAATTGAATCAATACATAGTCTAATGCTTGATACCTTCCTAACAGGCTCATACTATGGATTGATATCAACAAAAAACAGACCAGAAATGTGGAATGACAGTTATCTAATGGATTAAAAAAGAGATCAGATCGCTATCATTAACTATGACGAAACAATTACTTGGACAATGTCAGTTTAATTACATAAGACTCATCACTTGTTCCACAAAATGTTTGACCTATTTATTTATTTTAGAACCATATTGTAATGAAATAATGGAGCATGCGTAATCAATTGAATGAGAAAATATTTGTTTTGTAAATATGACCTTCAGTATATGTGGCATGTAGTGCTTTAAATCATTATTAAAGAAAATTGATCAAGTCCCTACACAATATATCATTCATTACTGCTAACGACATTTCATCTAACAATTATTTCATATTCACTGATTGTCAAGTTATTAATAACTAGTACAAATTTACTGACTAAATGTTAGTGAAAACAGATACGATGAATAAAACTTTTCCAGTAGGTGTAACTATGTTGTCACAAGTGTGTTAGATACAGTAATATATATACATATATATAACTAAAGACCATAATCACTGCTATTATTATCAACGATTTAGTTAGGAAGACAGTAATAAAATGTTTTTTTTCTTTAAAAAATACACAAACAAAAAGATAATCACAATAAAACTGGATGTGATAAAGTAATGAACAATATATGCACAATAAATATAGGCTTTTCTATAGTATGAAACGTGAACACATAGGATGAGTGAAGAAAGAATAAAGGTAAGAACTTTTAAACCATAATTAAGATCGAATAACTGAGGAATACTGGTGTCAAATCCTACAATTTATCTCTATCGTGCAATTCATCAATTTTGTGTGGTGGTTTAGTTTTTTTTAGTGTTTTCAATTTATTCTCTATTTTACAAACGACTATAAAAGTACCTTACTATGACTGCAAAGAAGTGAAATTGGTTATGGTTATCTTTTTTCTTTACAGAATGCAAAGTTGGTTAAAAGAGGCATACAACAATTGCGACTATAGTCATTCACAAAGTTTTACATTTGCATCAATTAATACAAGTGACTAAACATGATGGCATCGGAAAATAGAGGGAACAGTAGCCAAATTCATCTTTCGACGATATCCTTTGATATGAAGAAACTAATAACTAAATACATTCCATTTAAACTACCATTCAGCCTCACCGACAGCCTTTTGGAAAATATGATCCCGACCATTTATGGACATTATCCCGTCCTTCAGATGAAAACGCCATTTATTTCGAGCTCGATGAATCTGTTGAGAAGGCGGAAAAAAGTGTTTTTCAAGAGATGAATGACATTACAAGGTAGCTCCACATTAAAATACCGCAAAAGTGATTTCAAAATATTTTGGTTTAGTTCATGAATCTCTACCTCCGACAAAGAAGTTGGAATCCATAGTATAATTTACTCATTTCAGAAGAGTAGTTCTTAAACAAACATAAGTTCCCGGTATTTTTTCCAAGTAAATTCACAGCTATTAGTGGTAACTGAAAAATTTTAAACACCAATAAGAATTATCGTTATGTCCAAAAAACGGTGAGGATCCCACAGATGCATATAAATAAACACTAAGTGTAACTCAACAGTCATTTACAGACTGTAGCCATAGCTCGTCTGGGGACCGATGTTATTTCCAGATTGCTCAAACCAAAGTAAGCGGAGATCTTAAGTGAGGTGTTTCCCTCCTGATTTTAAGACCGATATGGGCAGATATCTTACTTGAAAATACCAAGTTCAGTTATTGGGAGGACCAACCATTATAACTACCTTAGAAGTTCCATCAGGTCTTAGGTCTAATGAAATGCCGACGAGTGTACAAGAATATCGTCGGCCTTTCACAAACTTACATATCCGACATAAATTAGGTTTTTGTCCGCCTATCAACAAGATGCATACATTGCATAAAGTTCATTTGTATTAATTTACGGGTGTTAAATATGGCCTGCAGAAGTAGAGAACATATGGTGGCACGTAGTTAATCACATATATCGTAGAAGTATTCCTAGCATTTAGTGAAGCTAATGAGTGGATATGAGTAATTTCTTATTGGCCTAATTCACCACCTACGTGAAAAAAACAGAAAACATCAGTTGTTCTAAATTCCTATCGGAACTCACCTTATCATACTGACAAACAACAACATTATCCGATTCGAACAGCACTTCAGGTTCTTCATCACTCACATCATCCTCTGAATTCAAAGGTTCTTCTTCCTCATCTTCTTCTCCTTCCTCTTCTGCTTTTAGAGGATCTCCTTCAAGGAATTCCATCTGATCTGGAACACCGAGCTCTGATTCAGTTGGGGATGAAAACTGTTTTGTTATACGATTGTTCTTAGGACTGACTGGATTCCTATCTTGTTGTGGACGCTGTTTAAGTTTTTGCTTCACTTGATCCAATTTTCGCTTAGGATCAACAGTATTTTCGTAGTTTTCTATGGATAGTTCGCTATTAATGATCAATACAAAATAACTAGAGTTTAGTGATATTTTAAACAAAAGGGTCGTTGAAACTCATATCAATAATCAGGAGAAACCCCAACTACCATACAACATAAAGTAAAAGCTGCAAAATATGAGTAGCGTCACGAAAATGAACATTTTAAATCCAAATCACTTAAAATGTCTGAAACACAAAGAAACAATTAAAACACTGGACGGTCAAAGAAATGTCTCACTGAAGGTGAACGCAATGGAACCAAATAAATAATTATACTATAGCAACTAGGATATTACCACTGCGTTTTAGAAGCATCAGTAGGTGAAATGCGTTCGAAACCAACCTGAGGTTTATTAGTATGGAATATATTCGACCAAACTATCGTACTTGCAGGTTATGGTAGAAAACTCCAGTTCGACCTCCGAAAATAATACACCAGACGTAAAATACTACGGGTAAATGACAATAAAAATCTGAAACAAGTTTTATTTGATTCAAGGGACTTCACGTCCGTGCAACAGGCTGTTTAACATACAGGTGTGAAAGCTAAGATACAATATCTCTACCTGACCTTCTAAATCGAATAGGGTGGATATTTCGGGCCTAAAATGTTATGGATAACTAAGTTTTAAAAATCTAGGGTATCTTGAAATACGACTACTAGTATCTTGCTACATTGTACACACTCAGGTAATGGTATACAGTTTATTTCATGTCAATAATTAGGCATGAATTGACTTACTTTGGGTTGGCCGGTGTAGTGCTAGTAGTTACTATGTCTGGATCTTCGCCATCATCACAACCCTCAGATTCATCTGTATCTGTATTCTTCCCGTGGTATGGTGAAAGTCGTCGACGTTTGGAGGCGGGTGTTTGTGCAGTGTGAAGTGAATGAGTAGCTAAAGACTGTTGTCCAGGGCGTAAGTGACTTTCTGGGACTGATACGGAAGGTGGGGTCATAGGAGTGGGTGGGGCACTTACAAGAGGTGTGCCCCCACCCATATCTCTTGGAGTATCCATCACATAACGACTAGTGTTGTAGTGAGATAAAACAGACGAGTGTGGTGTGAAACCAGGAGTAGCAGGGACTAAGTCATCATCATCGTCATCATCATCTTCTAGATCTGAACCATGATGGGCATGGGATGCAACACTATCATTATAATTATGCTGTCCACTATTTTGATTCTTTCGACGCCCATGTACACTCATCGATTGTGATACAGGAGTATCACAGAACTTTTCATCATCGCTATCATGGACACCATCGACCTGTGTCTGTAACAGTTAAAAGTAATTTATGGGTAAGAATTATATATATAACAGACCGTAAATAATCGAAACCAAAGTTATGAATCCTAATAACTATCATATCTCACTACAAATGTCCCATTTTTAAAATAAAAGTGAGTTGAGTCATCTGTAGCACTGATGAAATAAGGCTGCAATCGGTCGTATTGCAAAATATAGAAACCCTGTGTTATGCATTAAACAATACATTATCGAAGCTTTATTCACTGCCCAAACGGTACCAAACAAGTATAGTATACAAATTATTTCTATACACATGGGATTTCATCTCGCTGCGATATCACGTTTTACGAATTGTTATCAATTAACACCAGATAAATTTGTTCAGGAAAATACGGTTTATGCAAATAAAGGAGTGAATATATAACCACATTATATTTACTCTTTATCGGTGGTCAAAATGAGTCACTAGAAGTTGGTTTCAACTCCACTGAGCTCAAGAAATTAATCCCAAACAAGTGGAAATCTCTACTATTTGTACATATCCCAGTAAATGACAGTCTATACAAAAGAAAGTTACAACTAGAAACAAAACCTTGAAAAATACTTTCAAGAGAGAAATGCTTAATTTGATAGGAATCTACTAGAAACATAACTTTGTGTTAAATGTCATTACACGAGTAAAAACAAAAACACGTCTCTAGGGTTTACTAACCGCTAAATGATGCATTGAAAAAGTTTTAGGAACATTACTTTCATAAAAACCACCGCTATTTCAAAAATATCTAAAACCATAAAATAACAATATGTTTTTCGCTTAATTATAAAACGAACTAATTCTAAGTAATAACTAAAGGTAACGTTTCCATAAATATAGACCTCTCCGAGTTGAGGACGTTAGACGACTCTCTGTATTTGATCATCGTTGTCTCCGAAGGATTGCTGACATCCAGTGGCAAAACCATGTTAGTAATGCAGAGGTCCGGCATCGTGTGTTCGGGTACAGAGACGATAATGCAATCGGTGTCACCATCTTGAAACATCGACTTCGGTGGCCTGGACATGTTCTACGAATGTCGTCTCAGAGAATTCCACGTGCATTATTTGCCGACGCTGGAACTGGTTGGAAAAAGCAAAGGTGGTCAGTGTATGACATGGTGTCGTGGTATGAAAGAAAGCTGCAAAGGGCTGGCTTCTGTTGGACCTTCACGACTCCATGGCTAGGTTCCGAGAGATGGTGCTACACAGTGGCTAGAGACGTTATCAGATATGGCTCAGAATAGAAGCCAGTGGCGATCCTGCTGTAACCTTCTTTTACTTTCTTCGTAAAAAGTGGTTGTATCTTCCTTAACTGAAAGATTTCTTCTGATTGTACTTTTCCGTTCCCTCATTATTACCATTATTATTATTACACTACCTTACACCAATCTCTTCGTTATTGTTCTCTTTCTCCACGCTCCTTACCTTTTCTCTTTTTCCTTATCTTTAAATTCTCAATGTTTTGTGTGGCGCATATATATTTGGCGCACTCTCGTACCAATATTTATGTGTTCAAATAATAATAATAGTAATAATAATAACAATAATAATAAAGGTAACGTATTAAAATGTATCAGCTAAACAAAAAGGTGGCTTAGTAAACTATAACTAATATTCTTTGGACTCAACTAAAAAATATTGAAAAACTCACTTGTTTAAACTGCCCAATGTCTGAAATAGTAAAAGGTTTGGAATCAGAAGCCATGGAATTGTTGGTTGCCACACTTGGGTTACCTATATACTGAGGAACAGCCAGATGAACACCAGGTTGACGGACTGCTGTTAACGGCTGAGGGACGAGATAAGTCTGTTGGCCGATTTGTACAAGATGTCCTGTAAATGATACATGAAGAATATCAATCGAATTTATTTTGATTATCAAATGTAAAATATTAAATATATAACTTTAGAAAACTTAAGATGAGTACACAAATCTACTGACCTGTAAGACCTGAAGGCAGTGTGGCGAGCTGGGGTGTTGTAACTTGTTGAACGTTAGTAGTTGCAGTAGGTCTTGATTGAGCTCCACTTGGATTGGAAGTAAGCACAGCGGGAAGAACGCTGGTTGTTTGAGGTTGCTTTTGTGTTTGCGACTGAGCTGGAAGTATAACTGAGGCCAAACACGGAGTAGCCTGTACTGGCTCACGAGATCGCATTTGAGTGGGGACTGAGACAGAAGCCCGTGCTGCAGGTAGTCGCAAACCTGAAAGCGTACCAGGGAGCGCCATGCTTGCTGTTGTCTGATCTGACCCAGTTCGGATGATTGTATTCAACTGCCTCATTGGTAAACCTACGGAGGAATTTCCAGAACTGACGACATTTGGATGGATCTGAAGTTTTAATTGATGAAAAATAGTGATAGTTTGTTGATATGTGCAACATGAAAATCAAAACATGTATAACGATAGTGAATCCCGAGACAGATTTAATGCACCCTTCAAGTTTATCAGATATTTCAAAAGACCGTAGAATGGTAAATTCATTGCCAATTTATAACAATGATGTCAATATCCCAATCAAGACTCGGATTTTAACAAATAGGTCACTGATTCGAATTCCTCTCCACCTACTATGGTTTGAGTAATAGGATAGTGTCCCCGACTGCCACAGAGTGTGATTTAAAGTGGAACATACACAATTATACAGGGAATCGAGTCACTGGATTAATGTTACACTGGCTATGCAAACCATGCATACGTACCAAAACATGTAATATTGGCTTTGAACTGAGGAATCAATACTCTTGCGCAGACTAAGTTAACTGCAAAAAGAATTATGAGCATCTTATACGTTTAACAGATGAGTTGAAACTGTGAGGAATATGACGAGAAATCAAAATAAAATCTAGACAACGAATAATGGTTTAGTTGAGAATGTAAAGGTCGAAGTTAAAAGTTGGTGCACCTTGAAGGACCACAAATCGATCTTGCACAACGATTCCATCCTCAGTATTATGACAAAACTCGCGACGTTACATGATGTAAATGGGGTGCATAATTAGTTACAGACAAGTATTTTTAAGACAAAGCCACATCAAGAATAAGCATTTAAAAACTTGGAACCCAATATAATAGCCATATATATATATATGAATACATATAGTACCGTGGTCGCCCAATACAGCTGTCAAAGTTACCATATTTTACGCAATTTAAACATTTTTATTACCTGAACTTGAGAACGTTGCAGAAGGTTCAAATATTGTGCAGCACTTCCGCCAACAGGCTCTGGGCTAAAGACGTGGGTCTCAGCAAGTTTTGACTTCCATAACTAAATAATAGTGAGCCGTGAAACATGTGAAACCTTTTTGAGTTCTTCAAGTATCTGGATATCACCACCATCCTCTACAAACTCATCTTTAACACCACTTATAACATCCTCAATCACATCGTCGTAAAATTTGGCCTGAAAATTGAGAGCGGTAACAAATGAAAGCACAAGATAAGCAAACAGGTGATCATTCAGAACTAACCACGCAGGTCATTACGACTGTATAAAGTTTATTCGAGCGTTTGCGCTAGTTACAAAGCAATCGCGAACAACTTCCCAGGACAGAATTATCAGGATCTAAAGCACAACCGACAGTATTTAAAAGTGTAGCCATTATAACATACTTCCACGGGAGAGTATAGAGCTGCGTGTGCACGGGAAACTGGATGACAACAAGATAATGAGACGACGACTAAATAAAGACATAAGATGCACCTACATCAGATGAAATAGATCTGCAGTAACTAGCAACAGAGTAAATGGTGAGACTAAGACAATCGGGTAATAACAACTAGAACTAATTTCATAAGGATTTGAACTGACAACACGAATCTACACAGCCCGTGCACCGTCACGTCTAAATCAACCGCAGCAATTTAACGCCCAATTTTTTAAATGTTTGCAACGTGGTATGAGCCAGCTGATTTCTGAATGACTGATTCTCAATGTTGGTAGCAAGTCCCAGAGTTTTGACTGCTCTAATCAAACCTTACCAATCCACCAAGCTGCGAGAGTCTTAGTGATGGACAGGGTTGTTTTTTTTCAGTTATTGTCTGAGTACGTATCTTCCTTTTATTTCATTTTTATATTCATGTATTTTTACTCCAAGTTGAATGGCCAGTTTAAGGGGACATTTTACATTCTTACCACAGACTAGTAGATTTTCATTGCAACCACGATCAACTTCTTCTTGTAAAGATGCCACAGATATTCAAGGTTTGATGACGATAATGAGGTTAATGAGGTCAGTGAGGCTCGCACCAATGTAGAAGACTTACATAAATGTTTGCTTTTGCGATTTGTTTACCACTACGCCTGTCTAATTTATGTGTGTTTATTTCATATGATTCATACATGCGGTGACGCCCACTGATATTCCATATGAATAAGAACTGGGAAGCTTTAGTTTTGTAGCGGTCAATAACTTCCCAAAATAAAGTTGTAAAACAATCTATGCGGATGCTGACCTCATTAGCTTTAGTAGGTACCAAAAGCTGAAGATGCTAGGTCGATCACTCACATCAAATCTTCACACAACCATCCGTGAAATTGTGGTATGTATATGACCTAATAATTCCTTTGTAATTGATGACTGCTTGATTTCGAATTCAAAATATAACACGTGATTAACCTGTTTTATTTCTGAGATTCCTCGTTCGCACTAAAATTTAAATACTACTAACTATTACACTGGCGCCGCGATGCAGCCTGTGATGGAACAGTTGGACATACATGCAGACTCTGATGCTTTTGAGGACTACATGAAAAGGTTAGAAATATGAGCTATGACCAAGGAAGATGTTGACGATGCTAAAATTGTAGCTCATTCCGTTACATTCATCGAAAAAGAAGCATATAGCTTAATAAAGACTTTGACATTTCCAGACAAGCCGATTTCACTCCCCTACGCATCTCCAATAACTACTCCTAGACTATGTAATTATACAAGTTCGGACTGCGGTAAAGGGGTGTAGCGGTAAACAAATCCCCAAAATAAATAGCTCTGTAAGTTTTTGACATTGGATGCTGACCACATCAGTTTTGATGGACTCACCTAGATGAAGGCGCTTGGCCATGCATCCGCACCAGATCACGAGTGGGAACGCCATACTCAACAACCCCTGCAATCGCTAGCCAGACTAGATCAGACGATCCTCGATATATTGATAGCCTATCAAATATATCTTCGAACCTCCTCGCTTCTGTCTTTTGATTTCACTTGGTGGGTACGCTTCATAATAGGTGTTACTGGTCAAAGCGTTGTCAAACTCCGAATACCTGTAACATCTTCGGGGGAAAATTTTCATAAAATGATTCGTCGGAACATTATGAATTCCACTATTTTACTGCTTTGTTCCAGTCCAATACCCAATCAAGGTAATTCAGATAACAAATGATTGAGAAGTTGCGAATCAGGTCACGAAGACGAGCATAAGTTTGATAACTGCTTGTTCTATGGCAAGATCCATTCATGCAATTCGTGTGTATTTTTTAATTTTAAATGCTTTAAATGTGGTGGGACTGAACACATTCAGTCAGTTTGTAAAACTACGGTTCACTTTGCTGCAATTATGCTAAGTTGAGTGTTTGTAATGACCACATATCTTCATCCATGACTTTGAAAAGCGGTATAAAGTCACATATCAGTCCAGAGTTGAATGGAACTCAGGATCTTTGTGAGACAAAATTTTTTTAATCTATCAACTTCTTATCAGATTTATCAAGTTATTGTACCAGATATGGTTTGCCTTAATGATTCACATATTTCTGATTGGACTTCTCACAGATCTGAGCAAAATATCTTGAATAAATCTAATCATGATCGAAAACCTGATGCTATTTTGATAGATGCTGAATTTTATAATGATCCACTATTTTCAATAAATTTGAGGAAGGTCACCCAGAAAAATCAGATTCTGATGTGATATCAAATGTCATCTGTCTTCACAATGGATTTATCTCTAGTGATATCTCTAATGAATGTGACAAATGTGATCCGAATGAGCCGAAATCTAGTCACATTCCTGTATCAGATGTTGAATATTCTCACAACCAATGAATGTTGAGTAGAATCCCTAGTCAGTGGTATGATGAATCAGAGGAAATAGCAAGTTTTCCCGAAGTAGTCAGAGAACTAGTTTCCCCAGATATGGAGTTTGCACAAGCAGAAAATCTAAATCAAATCGAAGACTATCTTAATGGGTATGAGGCAGATGCATATTTTCCATTTGATTGTTTTGCAGATGAATGAAACCTAGACGAATCACATGTGTTAGTCGTACGTATCGATGCATATTTATCAGCTTATTCTAATATGAAAAGCAAAAGGAATATATATCGTATTTTCCTGAAAGTCAAATTCACAAGATGGAATGCCTCAAATTATATGCCAGTGAGTATCCCTAATTACTCACATATAGTAATCGAAGTGTGAGATATAATAAGATAGTGCAATTTGGGAAGGCCAAACTGGCCATAAGATCGCGACGTAAGGACCCAACATTATTTCATGGAGTAGGATAGTGTTGAAAAGTCGATGATGTAAATTCTAGATATCAGTGATTTCAGTACACAACCGACATGGCGCTTGTTTAAAATTCCAAGACCCAGGTCAGTTCGTTCCAATTTCCGTTATTAATTCTAATACTAATGATCACATTCTGAATAGTGCAGAGTCCATATCCAATACAATGTCGGACAGGTATAGAATTACATTAAGGAGAGGACGTACAGTCGGGTACAGAAACTTAGACTTCAATTTAAGCTATGGCGGATGTGGTGTTTGTATGATCTAATGATTCCTTTGTAATTGATGACTGTTTGATTTCGAACTCCAAATATAATATGCTTGTTCGTGCTTATCTAACATTTCTTGATTAAATTGTGTTATTTCTGGGATTCCTAGTTTGTACTATAGTCCAAATAATCCTAATTATCACCGAAATACATCAGTTACTTTTATTACCTAGTTTTTGTCTTATGTTTCAGTGCCTTAGCATACACACTAAATAATCTACCACTCAATCATTGTCGACTTTTCCATAGATATCCGCATACCGGTGTTGCCATATTCTGTAACATCTGAATTCTCGGGTTTTATTGCGACAAAAACTTTCATTCTAGTTAGCCGATGTTCAGTTCCTTCAGATTTTCGAAGGATTAAAACAAGCAAGACCTGTCTGCTAAATTTTAAAAGCCCGTCCCCAAATAGTGACAGTCCATGGTTTTCACTCGACTAAAGATTCGACGTGCTGAGAGAAAAATACTCTTTTTATGGTGTTTTTGCATATCACTTTGAAAATGTGTGCTCAGTAAGTTTGAAACCATTTGAATTTACACTATATAACCTTCGACGATTCCCTCACTTTTTGTAGCTTGCTGTCTCATGTATCCCTTCTTTTAAGTTACAGAGACGGTTACGCGTTCCGCTTGCATAAGGTTTTTGCATAACCAAGATATTGTCGGCTGATTTAAATTTGGTTTCGCCTGTAAACCGACATGCATCGTGTAAAACAATGTTATTTGGGAATAAATTGTTGTTATTATATTATCACCCAGCTATAGTTGTTACATTACTTTCCTCTTAGAACCGACACCCATGGGAACATTTGCTTGGTCAATTCATCAAAAAAACATCAGTTCGGTTCCTCAGCTTAATGGAGAATAAATAATTTCTTCAGTATTTCACCTCCATACTTTTGCCATCAGTGGCGTTGCCTGACCAATGAATACTCAGAGATAGTCTTTCGATGTCGTATACTTTACTTGCTTGTTATCTTAACTCGGAAGCATTTCTTTTCTTTTCGCAGACTATCGAACAGAACTTGTTGCACGTGTTCTCCATGTGGAAATCAGAGAAAGCAAGAGAATAAAGGACACGAATGTGAAAAAAATATTTGAGGAAGTGCTGCTTTAAAGCACGGCAATAGACAAGACGGATATTTCGTCTCATGTTGTTGGGAATGCTATTATTGATTTTAAGGTACCGAACATACATTTATTAACTAGTCCTTTATCTCTTTAGCGCGTCTTTTTGTACTAGAGAATGGTTTGACTGTACAGAACAGGATGTACCGTTTGAGGCACTTTATACTTGTGGAATAATTTTTCTTCTTTCTTACATTAGAACTGACTACAATGAGCACAGAGTTTGTTTTTTGATAAAAGTTAATGTGAGAGACTCAAAAAGGCTTTAAACGCTACGTGGAAGAACGTAGTTTTGATCTAATCAAATAAACTAGAGTTCATTAGTTCTACGTTCAAACCAATTACTGGGACTTTAGTCTTTACACACTTACTTAACCTTCGATCGTTCATCTTTATCTTTTAGTGTATTTTGCCGTCTGAACCGTCTTTACGTCCAGTTTCCAAGAGTTCTTCCAGAGTCGTGTTCTCGATGCATTGAATCTTTATACACCGCCAGACAACTGTTACAACTTCAACTCGACGTTCCGTCACACACTATTTACAAACAACTTCATATGTTGAGTCTACCACAACATGAGTAGGTTACTAAAACCATGTCGGTGTGGTGCTATCTATCTAACTTATCAGATGTTTACTCGCCGGCCTCGCTAGCGGCACTCAAGCCGAAAACGGAGTAATCCAATCTTCATAAAAATAAATAGATAGAGTCAGTCAAACCTAAAGGATTGCAGCACCATTCGCATAAAATAAATAGATAATAAAAGGGGATGTAGAATTAAAGGTGATAAGTTTTCGTTTCCATATAAATAGTTGGTCTGTAGAACGTACCTGTGATCTAGAAGGAAATAGGTGAAGTGAGGACATATTGAGAATGGATGTAACGGAAAGAAAACTTTGAGAATCTTTCCACAGCATTTTCTCGGACAGTACTATCATTCTTTTTTTTCTCCCTGTCGTGTGTTTTAATCTTTGTTCAGATCCTTTTTAACCACACTTTGTGTTTTTCAGTCTTCCTCGTCTGAGCTTTAATTTTGTGACTTTGATTGAAGACTTAACTTTTGTTACCTAATTTTTCTGTTACGTGTTGCCGGAC